ATCTATCTATCTATCTATCTATCTATCTATCTATCTATCTATCTATCTATCTATCTATCTATCTACCCTTTAGGGATTTCTTTCAAATTTCTCATGATGACCGCTGTCAATTTCATACTTGAGTTTTCCAATCCGGGGGCTGGGCAAAAGAAGGTTTGTTGAAATCTATGTGAAATAGGGTAAGGGAGACAAAGAATCATTCCCAAACAGAGCAAACAAAAACTTTATTTCTTTCCAGGACAGTTTATTAGTTTTAAACAACATTGCAAGTCACTTCATAGTTTTTCCTTGATGATACATGAAATCAAAAGAACACTGGAAAATATCATTGTTAACAAGTCCTCAAACTACAACTTAACAATTGGAATGTGTCGAAATCACATACCATAAAATCCCACGTCAAAGCCCCCCAGGTTATAAGCCCTTCTATTTGCTAACAAAGATATTATTTCGGATATAAGCCCCCCCGGATACAAGCCCATCTAATGTATAAGTGCGTTCCTTTTGCGTTTTATAAATGTATTATAAATGTAATGGTATGTTAGCTTTCATTCGTTTCTCAGATACGATTTATCTCGTCGTTCCGAAACATTTTCTCTTTATTTCGCTTANCCCCCCGGATATAAGGCCTACTGGGTATAAACCCATTTAATACATGCGTTCCTTTTGCGTTGCTTTACGAACATCAAAATTTTTAATCGAAAGTTATAGGATAATAGGGTAACAGCCCTAAATGTAATGGTATGTTGCCTTTAATTAGATTCCCAGATAGGTTTCATCTTGTCATTCCGAAACATTTTTTTTTTAATTCCGCTTATATGCCCCTCCTGGAAATAAGCCCCCCTGTTTATAAGCCCACCCAAAACCCCTTATGAAGTTATATAAGCCTAGGGCTTTGACGTGGCATTTTACGGTATCATGATAGAATGGCACAATAGCTGCCAAGCTATAAAACAACTCGGTCAATTTATTTCATGACAAGCTGAGCTAAATAACACTGCAAATTCACTGTGTGACACAGTGTGGTCGCTGAGCTAATTCATTAAATAGCTCGGTACAGTTATTTTGCGGCACAATGGCCGCTGAGCCAAACAACTCAGCACATTTACTTTGTTCACGACAACAAGTCATGGTCATGTTGCTCTTCGTCTGCTGAGAACACTGTCTGCTCAGTTTGTGTTTTCTTTAGATTAACCAAAGCAACATCGAAGGCGAGATGACTATTGACAACAAAATGCCAATTTAACCTGCCGTTTGATATAAATTATACATCAGCAGACACACACACTTCCCTGAGACTTAAATACATTACGACTTAGGCTTGAAAGGGCAGTCAGGAAAATTTCACTTACCAAGAATATCGAGGAGTAACTAGAACTTTGGAAATACACAGAATTGCACAGCCTGATTTCTCACCATTAATGGCGTGACGCATAGATTTCCACGTGAAGTGAGGTCAGTATTTTGGAAGCTGAGCTTGCATAAGAAAAACAACTCCTGTATCAGCAACACCTGAATGAACTGATAAAGAATAAATGAGGCATCTCGTAAGCTTTTCATGAGTACAGTGCAGTTAATGTCCGATGAAAGGAGGAAAACTAATCACAAAACAGCATGACAGAGCAATTGATAAATGAAAAATAACTTACCTTGAAAACTGCAACCAATTAAGGCCAAAAAGCTGAGCAAAGAAGTCAAGTGACAACGCAATACTGCAAGAACTGGCGACGACTACGTCCTACAAATGTAGGAATAGCTGCCTTCTTTCGAAAAGAATCACTTCAAATTACTAGTACCCAGTCTACCTGTCAGACTATCCATACTTCCAAAGCTCTCTCATGTGACATCACGTCCTCAAACTGACTAACAACATTTTGATAGCTTATTGGGCTTATGCACGCAAAATGCATAAGCCCACAAAAAGGAACCTATGAAGATCAATTATCACTACAGATGTGTTTCATTCAGTTTTTTAAAAAAATACACCCTTCTTTTGACAAAGAAAATGGAAAAGATGCCCACCAAGCAATTGGATGAGAAATAATTCAATACTTTGCTTTCTTCATGTAGCTTTTATTTTTGTTTTCTTCATAATTTGTTTTCTTCATGATTTGTCTTGTCCATTTTGTACAAGAAAAACAACCTTCTTTAATTACAGTAGTATCCGACAATTATCAGCAGTTAGCTATAATGTTACTAAATATTAAATTCTGTTAAGAAAATTTAAAAAAAAACAGGAACAGAAAAGCATCAAGGAATTGGGCATTATAATTTAGTAGTTGGCCTATAAAGCAAATTTATGTGGCACACTGAATAAAAGCAAAAAATACTTGCCAGCTGACATTACAACTTCACGCTGCTTTAAGTGTGTCTTTCTGAAATGGCTTAAACCACTGGATGTTGTAGCCTGAAGGATCAAATTATCCCTTTGGGCATTGCTCTTGGTAACACCTGAAAGCATCTCGAATAAGTTTGGTTTTATTCGGCTTCAAACAGGTGAGATATTTTGGAAGGAAACTTCAAGTGACTTCATAAGACTTGGACAATAGAGTAATTAAAGTGACCATGAGCGAAGAACTTGTGAACATATCCTTTCGTTAGCATTGTATGAACAAACTCGAAGTAATCATTGCAGACATTTTATGGATTTAGCTTCTTCGTTATGTATGTAGCTTTAGACAACTTTAGAAAGAAATCTTGAATTAGTTGTTTTGATCACCAAACGCCAGAATTAGAACTTTTTTGGTCAAGCGGCAACCATTGTTAATTTCTGAACGACCATGTTCCGATGTATCAGGATTATTTTTCAACACGTGGTTTCAGCCCAGTACACTTTATGGATTTCAAATTTTCCTCTCAACAGTACCATATAATTGGAGGCGTAGCTCTAAAAAGAGATTTAATCTAGGACTCTTTTTTTTACAAGCCGACTGAAAGTTTGATTCAGAGCCCCCAAGTTTTATTCAAAAAAATGTCGTGTTACATGTTATCTGATCCTCCCTTTCCATGAATTCTTAAAATATATCAAGTAGACTTAACCTTAGTCCCTAGGGTTTGATTTCTTCTCTCTCAATAAAAGAAACATATCGCCTACATCAAAGAGTTTGCGCTCTTCAGGAACATGCCGCATTGTCAGCAGATCATAGTTGTCAATAATTAAGTGATGAGTAAGAACAATAGCATGAATATATGAATACTCAACAACCCCGCGTATTAGCGGTGAGAAGTTGTAATGATTTGTTCCCCAACATCCATATGAAAAGGAAAATAAGAAAATCGATCATTAAATTAAAGCAATCAGTATTTTCTTCATTTTAACAAATAAATCAAAGAAAAAGAAGCAAAAGACCACCATTGGCTCAAAGGAAAATTGATTTGACTCACTGAAATGAAGTAATACTTTTTAATGAGTTTAATTTGTATGTGAATGAAATATCATTTTCATATGAAAGGATGGGCACCGCTTTGAGAAAGGGCTAAAGGTAATTTGGAAAGGGCTATTGGGCATTATATTTATTTACTAGTTTGGTTCACAAAAAATTGACGTGGTACATTCAGTAATAGTTAAATGATACTAAGTACGACCTGATTTCTTCCCCAATATCCACATGAAAGGAAATTTAACAAAAACAACCAAAACAGAAGGCCACCAAGCAAATGGAGAAAAAGTAGTTTGGTTCAAAACAAATTGTAGTGACACGTGATGCATTGAATGAAAGTAAAAAGAGACTTACATTTACCACCTGATTTGATCCCCAAAATCCACATTAAAAAAAGATGAAAATAAATTATTAACAGGACTTAATATTTTATCCCTTTCAAGAAATAAATCAAAGAAAAGAAACAGAAGGCCGCCAAGCAAATGGACAAAAAGAACTTCGCTCAAAAGAAACTGACAAGATTCGTGAAGCATTGAATAAAAGTAAAAAGATACTTAACACCTGATTTGATCCCCCACATTCACATAAAAAAGATGAAAATAGATTATTAACAGGACTTAATATTTTATAGTTAATAGAAATAAATATTTTTATTGTGTAAGTTCAGTTTCACGACAGTTTTTAACAACTGAAAGATAATACTTTTCTTCCTTTTAAGACATTGGCAGACACATTTTATTTCAAGCTTCAATTACAAAAAGCGGGGATTGGATGGTGATTCGACTACTTCGATTTGGGTGTTCATTCTAACAAGGCACTGCAAATTATTTTGGGTCATTAGTACAAGGCCCTCTTGAGAATTCTGTCAAAAGACGAAATTTGGCTTAACGTCCATGAATAAACACGGTTACTATGGCAGTGTCAAGTGACGTGGAGAAACAGTTGATATGAGAAGAATTTCTACCAGTGACAGATAAATAGATGCCTTTAGACAGCTTTAGCATCACAGTTTAAAATCCGTTAAAGGATGGCCTAAAAACCTTGCAAGATGGGGAAGAGGGTGACTTCCGACCCCTCTTGTACGTCCATGAGTTAACATTTTAACCTTCATTGTTACATTGTCAGTGACGGACTGTGTTGGAACGAATAAGCTGGTGAGTTTAAACTTATGATAGATAAACACGGCGGTGTAAAAATTATACAACTTACCTGAAGAAGTTATCCCACAGAAGCCCATAGGACAAGCAAACGTTTTTCCCAGTTTATACACAAAGAACCTTCCGCAGTTTCGTAGATGGATGTTTTGAGACCACTGACAGCAGTTTGATCCCCATCTGAAGCAGACTTTGCCACTTACAATCCCATCAGCCGCTTTTGGACTAGCAACCGGCGTTTCTAGCCAACCAGTGATCACGGTTCCGCATCTTCCACTTGGAAGACACGAGGAAGCCATTTTATCGCCCGCTGGATTTAAGAAGCGGTACCATCCAGGTGGGAGACCATTGTCACAAGTTGGCGCGCTTCCTAGGGGGAGCCGATAAGTAGTGGAGCGACTAGCTGCACTAAGTATGGCATAGTTTAGACACTCCTTTTCTGAATAAAAAGAAAGTATACAATGCTAGATTATTAGTGAGAATCGATGGCGCAAAAGACTTCCAAATGTAAAAAGAAACCAGACCATAAGTATTAACAGGTTTACTGACCATCTCCTACAAATCTGTAGACCATAATTGTGTCTGCTCTACCAACGGTTACAGTGCATTGAGAAGATCTTCCATGGCGGTCATACGTCATAGGGGTAGTATCTCCACTCCAACATTCCCAAAATGACTCGACACTACAGACACAAAGTTTATATTTCATTAGGAAACGAAATAGTCTTTAGGCAATACATATCAAGAGAACAAAATAAAACACGGAATGCATAACGTAAATTTCTGATTTCAGTTCATAATGAGAACACATGGGACCAATATCAAGTGAACCCATTTTCCTTGAACTGCATGGATTGGGGATTTCTTTCCTGCATTTAATACTTACTGATCTACATAGACAGCACACTTTTTTCCCTTCCAAAAAGGTTTGATAAATCTGGTATTTAACATTGACATTTATGCTAACTTTATTGCGATGTTAAAAAGCGTGGGAAATGGATTCAGAAACATTGTTCCATATACTTTGGCTAAGCTTCCTTTTTAGGAGTTGGGAGGGAGCATGGAGGGGTGCCGTGGTGGTGGGGAAATCGTTTTAAGACAAGAGATGATGATCTGGCTCAAGACTGTTCACTTTAGATTTAGTTTTAAAGTAATCATTAACAGGTTTACCCAAAATACATATAATTCATTTTCTTCGCCTCTTGCGCACATTTCTTGACAATATAACTTAAATCAGTGTTCCAGTCTATTGTTGTATGATAGAGGGCCAAAAGCGATGGCAAGGCTCTTAGTTGAGGTCTATCCTGAAAGCAACCAACTTTAACGTACTCAGGTGGCGCTAAAAGGAAATAAAAACGTAGGTGATAAGAAAATTCATCGGCATTAACGACCTTAGAAGGTGGAAAAAAGAACGCTCCGAGACCAGCCCATTATTCTGAAGCACGTACCATTCGTAAAGTTGTTTTCATTATAGGGTCATACATCTAGAACACTATTAAAAACGGGATCACTGGGTAATGCAATTCAAGAGTTTTCATTGGCTTAGCCATCATATATACAACGTGGCCAGCACACATGCAAATTTATTGAAACAGAAGGAAGTTTTCATATAAGAAAACAGTTCAGTTCCCACAGGATTGGTTTGGTACACCAACATGGCCGCCGTTTCATTGTTCTGGAACACCAATATGGCTGCTGTGACGTCATGTGAAAACGCTCTATATGAGCCATTATACCCATAATTCCCGCAATTTTTTGGGACTTATTTTTGTATTAGTTTTCTATATTTTGGGGGCGTTTTAAATAAAACAATTATTCCACGCGCGCTTTTTGGATATGACATGGCTATCCAATGGGCGCTTGTGGAATACTTGTTAAATATACCAATTGCGTGGTCGTTTAATCATTTATGCCCTAGCTACCTCTCAATGATTAAACACTTTCGTCCAACACCGTGCAGGATGAACGGCTCTACAAATATTCACCCCCTAGACAGTTAGCATTTTCATTCAAATATCACGTCAATTACTAACAGTGTTTTTACTCTTTTGCTGTTGCTAGTCTAGCTAAGTCAAACCCATCCTACATATTCTCTCCTAAAACTGAAAAATTGTTTCCCAGGAGCCACTGTCGTACTAAATAGCACTCTTAATCATCACGTTAATACATTTTTAAGGCATATATCGGTCAAAAAAGTTAAAGGGCTTTATCACGGGGATGTTGGTGTGTTTTTCCCTCAGAAAGAGATGCTAAGATTATGAGTATCTTGTGATCAACTACAACACCAAGGTGAAGATATTAACTGAATTTTTGAAGTGAAAGAAAAAAAGCCTACCCGACATTTCCAGTTGAAAAGAACTATGTCACGGTTTACGCATCTTGAAAAGTTTAACCTAATTTTTTTCAAGTTCGTCGGTTGTAATCCGTTTTAATCTTCTCCGTCCTTAAGCATCCTTTTTCCTTTATGCTTTATTATTATCACTTTGATATTTTTCTTTTTTTAGGAAATGATTTTTTTCAGGTTTCTTAATTTCAATTTCTTTTAAGAAAGTTTGGCTCAAAATAAACTGACGTGGTCCGTGATGCATTGAATAAAAGTCAAACGATACTTACTGCCTGATTTGATCCCCAACATCCACATAAAAAACAATGGAAATAAATTATAAACAGGACTTAATATTTTATTCCTTGCAAAAGATAATTTAAAGAAAAAAAAACAAAAAAACAGAAGGCCACCAAGCGAATAAACAAAAATAAGTCTAGCTCAAAACAAACTAACGTGATCTGACCACCTGATTTGATCCCCAACATCCACTTAAAAAGATAAAAATCAGTTATTAACAGGCCTTAATATTTTCACCTAACAAATTGTATTCCTTTCAACAAACAAATAAAACAAAACAAAACAGAGGACCACTAAGCAATAGCCCATTACCATGTTGCCTTAAGCTTCTCTACCAAAGCGAGGCCTGGTGCACAACCATTCATATAATCAAAACGCTTTTAAGCCAACTCATGATACTTGAAACAGTCATGTCATTACAAGGGTGGTTAAGTTTGTCATGGTTGCGTGACACATCATAAATGGAACAGCAGTCATTAATTTACTGATAATCTTTAAGTTTAATTAGGTGGAACACTTGAGCTGTTTTGATCGTTACGACTGTGATGAGTCTCTAAAAAAAATCTGAATGTGTTTTGTACACAGTATTTTACAGATAAATAACTATAATGAGCTTTATTTCTTTCAAATAAGACCAAATCCACATTTACTTTAAGTCTCCTTTCCTTTAGGATTCCTATCGAGTCAAGGGCGATTCTGATTTCGATGTTTCTGTTCATAGTAGTTGAGTTATTACAACCATATTCACTTCTTCATTGCACTAAAAAGAACTGTTGAATCAAGGGATGGAAATTACTCAAGAAAGAGCAGGCTTCCAACTGATCAAAATGACGAATAGCTAGGGTTTTTGAAACAAACCATGCGCTTTGTAGTCAGATGACTTTTACGAGCACGAGTATGTGCCCAGTGATCTCCTGACCTCAGTGGAGAGTGAGAATAAAGACCCATCCAGTATCCAAAATATCCATGAATAGATAGCATGGTCAGTAAAACAAGTCATTTGGTGAGCATATTGAGTGATTTCAAGCAGAAAACAACGACCATATTTGTAATATCATTTAAGCCTACTGTAATCATCAATCAATCAGCAGTTTCGACCAAACTGTGATGAATTAATAGCCGTATTCCCTGTTGAAATGTTAGAATTGTAGGGTGGTACAGTGGCAAGGTTTCAGTCTGGGAATCGGAAATTGCAGTAAAGGTTTGGCGGTTCGAATCCTGGTAAAAGCTATTTTTTCCTCCGTACTACTAGGAGATGCTTTGCTTTTATAAAGCAAAATAAAAATGTTCAAGCGATAAACGTAAAAGTAATTATAATAATAATCACTGTGAGCTACTGAACTTGGAAAACAAATTATGAAAGGGTGTAATGAGGCATTGTTCGTTAAGGCACTAATTGTGATGTGAGGGTGGTCTAGCTTTCGAACAAGCCCGTAAAGCCTTTTTCCATTCAAGTGTGTGTTGTGATGTTTGCAAAATGAAACATTTCAATGTTAAGAAACTATTTGTTACTCAGGCCTGCCTACACGGTTTACCTTACATGTATCTGTACACGTCTTCCTAGTGCTGTAGTCAAAAACGGCAAGCTCATTTTGTTTGGTCAAAAGTGATGTATACACTAGGAGTAATGTCCAATGCTTGCTTATAGCCAGCTCTCAGTTGGCTTAAGTTTGTTAGATGCAAGCATGGATTTCGATCTTTGGTAAAATTCGAGAAAATCCTTTGTTTTAATTGTTTGTAATAGATTGAACTAGAAAGGTTGACCAAAAAGTGAAGATTGGGATCAAGGTAAACAGTGCTTTTATTGGGAACGTAGTTTTTTGGCACCAGATCCACTGAAATATTTACTGATTAAGGCAGCAGTCTTTTAGATACCCAGATTATGCAGTTTTTGCTAAGTTATCAATGCAATGATGCTGTTACAGCAGCAGGGTATATACTGAAACTGCAATAAGCATAAAAACTCTCTTTGGCCTTTAATAAACAACTCCACAAATCAAAACGGCGTGGTACAAAGAGTTTGCATACGAGGGGCGTAGATGCAAATAGCGTGGAAACAAACAGCGTGGGTTGAAACTAAAACAGTAAAAGAGCAAAAGTTACAAGTTGCGACTAAGCTAAATTCGAATAAAGAAATAACAAAACTGCAAAACGA